CCGGTCCATTCGGCCGCAGCTTCCCGAGTTCCTAGACATCACCGCTCTAGACCGGTCCCTCTCCCTAAAAAGGTAGGCCTATACTGTCCATTGCAATTTCATAAATCTCGTCGTTATCTTCTGGTGGCCAACTTTTTGTTTAAACTAAACCTCCAAATCAATGAAAACTTCTTCGACTGGTATATTTCAGGGACGTACGTCCTGCAATGGCATGTATGATTAGCATCCACATTATTTTATATTGTTATTGTGTTTAAGAAACCTCTATGATAAGGAGTTTTAGCATGGCCATGTAAATGACCATGATGGGTCCTTTAATGCTAGTCATGTCTCCTTCATGATTTTGATAGGTCATGCATATATAACACATCATCATCATTATCATTGTAGTTAAACTTTGGGACCTGCATGTACTTTTATTTTTTTTATTGCATCCACTAATTTCGTATTTCTTTTTCTATAGTTTTAAAATGAAAAATATACTTTTATGTGGTTGTTTACAGACATTATTAACAAAGTATAAACCTTAATTAATTAAAAGAGGTTACGTATGATAGATGAGGACCATTCCAGTGTTTCGCAATAATAGGCAGACCAGAAACATAGTAATAAATAAATAGAGAAACATAAGGGACATTGCAGAACAAGATTGATCGGTTGGTGAGCTTACATGTACGAAGAGCATTTACTCCATTTCGTTTGCTAATAAAACACCTCTTTATCCAGATGGCAAAGTATTTAAATTATTAAATATATTTGTATATTGTTTTCGAATTTACCAGAGTTTTCCGTGGTAATTTTTGGAGGCGAGACAGTGGGTGAAGTTGTGAAGAAAGATCGGAGTTTGTTCTGTGTCTAGTCGTTGTAGCATTATAGAAAACTTGAGCCTTTTATTGCAGGAAATAAGCTGGTATGTGGGTCAGGGTAAAAAACAGCAATTGAAACCACATGGATTGTCTGCATCTATACAACAAGTAAAAAAAAGAGACAATTAATTTAATTACCGGTCATGCTACGGATGATGATAATTAAAGAAGAATATTATTCGGATTTCAATACGAGTTTCAGATAAAAATATATATATCTTTTAGGGTATTTTTATTTCAGTCTAAAAAATTACATGATTCTTCGAGTAAGTTTGATTTTCAATTAAGTACAATATTAATTGCTCAGAAATATTATAAATATATATTACCTTTTAATCACCATACTATTCTAAAAAATAAATAAAAAAGCATATGTAAAGTGGAGATATTAACTTCTCCATTTTTTTAAAGTAGAGGGATGAAACTTGTAGTTAGACCCAAAATCTAGTATATATCATTTAAGAATCAAAGCTTTTTTTTTTTTTTTTGGAGGGAAGAATCAAAGCTTTTGATTGTTTATTGGGATGGTATATTTAACTAGTGAGAATATTAAATCATGATCCCCACTTTTCCCGATTCCATGTCCATTACACAGAGTTGGATGGGCCTAAACATTTTTTGTTTAATAACAATTTTGAACCCTGAAAGTTTAAATGCTTATAAAACTAAGCTTTAATTCCCTTCAAACTATAAAATTAAATATTTATCAAGTCCTCGTTAATTTTAAATTAAACAATTTATTTCATTCCTAGTTTTGTTCCCGAGTATATATGACTGTCTACCTTTATTTGCTTCTTAGTATTCTTAGTTTCCTTAGAAAAAGAAAACGCTATGATCATCAAAATCAATACTCCTTTGTTCCGGTATCATCTACTAGATCAAACAAATTGCATAATCTTCCTCAAATCAGCTAACAAAAAGCATCGAAACCATGATATAATTAAAACCAAAACCTTTTCGAATCTGCATATTTATGTTATTTCTATGTGTTATGTGGCATTGTTCTCCTCACGTCGCGTTCATTAGTGTTAGATATGAAGATAGATTATTCTAATATTGCCATCAATGAACAGAAATTTTGATGCTTGGACAGCAATTACGTCTTGTGTTGAAGATTTTGTTGATCCATAACCAGACATGCCATGGCAATATTTGGACACTAGAAGTGAAAGATGTCTAACATCTATTTACAATCAAAATATTATATATATATATATATATATTGTTTTATATTTCAGGCCAATTATTAACTTACACTGTTTAGATGTTCAACACCTCAACTTGCAAGAGAAAGAACATAGCAAGTTGCTATTGATGAAAGAATACTCTCTACATATCACTGGACAAACAAGAGTATTGATGAAATTTGAACATAATAAACATATAGTCTAAATTATTATAATTATAAAATATTTATTTGAAAACAATAATTTAATTCTATACATTAAGTTAAATTAGTTATATATATTTTTAAAAAATATCTTATTTAAAATAGAAAACGTAAAATCTCATAAATGAAGCTGAAGCCCCCATAAATTGTCATATCCCAAAATTTTATCTAAATTAATTAATTGATTTTCTGGACTAAACTGAAAAATTTTAAAATTTCTGAGCTAAATTCAAAAGTCTTTAAAGTTTAGGGACTTAACCCGAATTAACCCATTTTTCTGATCAGCTAAAAAAAAGAAAAATGAATGAATTGGTTGTTGAGGGATTTAAACCCCTACCACCCAGGATGGGCACCCATACCCTAACTTAGTGGCTAGGCACTATTTATGTATAATCTTAATAAAATATATGTTTTAATATTTATTAGTTATCTCGTTTTACCCAGAATTAAAACCCTTGTGCAATGAACCCAAACTTTTTATTTCCTAAACTCACCCCGACACCCTTCGACCAGCCTCCTCCTATCAGCGGTGAGGTGTACCGCCGTGTCCTTCGGGTTCAACAGTGATCATCGGTCTAACCCCGACCAACCCTGTTTCGTAAACCGACATCTTTTTTTACGAAGAAGCCAACGCCGAAGCACCCAACCGTTGTTTCGTTTTTACTTCGATTCAACTATTTCAGTCACCGGCTAGTCTCATGCTGACCACCATAGCGCTTCCCAGGCATATCCGACCAGAACCCGACCAAAATCGACTCCCATCGTTGTTGCATCGTCGATCGCCGGTGAGGTACTCGGGGATCTCCTGACCGTGCGACTGCTCGACCTGGTTCCTCTCGATCCGCTCGTCCTCGAGAGGCCGTGAATACCCGTATAGTTCTGTAACCCTGTTAGATATTTTGTTTAAAATATTATTCAGTATATGACCCTGTTCTGATATGACTTAGGTTCCTGTTCAGTCATGGAGCGTAGTGAAGCCGGTGATCAGTAGAATTCTCGGACTTATCCATTTTGTGAGGTGTGTTCCTTGTGTGCAATATAGCTGTTTTAAATATATATGTTTGAAATCTTATGTGGACATGATTATTTTGTTCTGATTTGAAATATAATGTTTGAACTAATTTGACTACTGTAAAAATTTACCTGATTAGAAGCCTGATTTTTGATTTACTAAAATTTAAAGCATGATTGTCTGACTTATAATCACTAGTTATTGTTTTACTGAATTGGTGATATGTCTGAACTCTAATTTACTACTACTGGTTATCGTATGAAAAATGTTTTCTTCGGGGTATTATGGGATCTGGTATGAAGACTTTGGTAGGTTCAGTCGCTGTTGGTAATTCCTTGGATAGGTTCAATACCGACTGGTAATTCCTTATGGACCTAAGGCGACCCTTGGGTAGGCTCTGCGGCCCCGAAATTTTTCTTGGGTAAGCCTCCGTGGCCCCGAGAATTGTCTTGGGTAGGCTCTCAGGCCCCAAGGTACTCCATTAGGTTATGCAGTTATGGGGAACTGCATGTGGCGTTTGGTTGAAGGATGATTCTGAGTTTTTAAACTAAAAAATGTTCTGATGTTTTAATAACTGTGATCTGCACTTATTTTAAAAGCATAACTGTATGTTTTTATTTCCACATTGTTGGGATACACTGAGCCTCTAGCTCACTTTTCAAATTGTTTTACCCCCTTTCAGATACTCTTGGATAGGCACTCTGTATCAGATACTTGAAAGATTGACACATTTAGTACACATCTTTTTGTTGTAATGTTTCTATTTTCAGAACTGCTTTTAATTATGGTGACATATGCCTTATTTTTGAAGTACTTATCTTTTTATGATGTTTACTGCTTCTGCTATTGATATTTGATTTACTGTACTCAGATTTATTACATGTTTTATTTTACCTGGTCGTTTTTAGTTTTATACTCACGAGTTAGGTTTTATCGTTATTTATTATACTTTTATAAATGTCATTTGTAATATGATTTAAATTATCAAATAATGTTTTTAGAAAATATCTTTAAGAATCTTTAATGTAATCCCGCTAGATTTAATCGAAATCCATAAACTAGATCTAGAGGTTACATAAATGCTAAAACACAAGAAGATTCCACCTAGAATTTAATCAAGAGTCACAAACCTTGTCATGTCGACCACATAGTATCAGAACCTACCTAGCCGTGCCTATTTATTGTAAAATTCGTATAATAATACAATATATTACTCTATACGTTCCAATAAATATCTTCTTATTTTTTAAAATTGATTCATCTAAATATCATATTATAAAAATCGATAAATAATATTTAAATTTTTTACTCTTATATTTTTACTCTTCTATATTTATTAAAATAAATCAATTAAATTTATCAATCATCTTTTAAGAATAATTTTATTATTTTACTTGATTATATATATATATATCTCTTAAAACTATATACATAATCAACATAATATACAAATTATGAGAGAGAGTGTGTAAATATTTAAAAATAAAATTTAATATTATTTCAATACCATGTGTCACTCTTCATTATTTTCACCTTTGTGTTTGACCTAGAATTCAGTAGGTGATATGAAAATGGCCCTAGAAGAAATATAAAATAACTGTAACAACAGAGAAACTGTAAAAAAAAAACCTAAACAAGAAAATAACTTTTTAAGGTTGATTTTATAATAATACATACTACTTTTTACTACTTAAAATAATAATAATAATAGTTCTTTGTTTTTCTTCTAGCATCTAGCCAGAACACGATAAACAGGCGTAGGGTCTAGGAATTTGTGCATGAAAGTGACATAGGAGATGGAAGAGTCAAGATAGACAGAAACAATGGATCTACAGAAAGATATGGTCTTTTTTTTTGTTGGTTTTATATCTGTCTTTCATGTTATTCTTCCTCCATTGAAAGTTGCCTTGCAAAGCTGCCCTCTTTATTCATATTCAGATGCTGCTTTTAGTTTATGCAGAAAACCCAGAAACCTTCTTTTGATTCTTCTTTTTCTCTGGTATTTTTGCTGAAAAAGAATTTATGTAAATTCACATGGATTCTTTTAATATTTTTTTTTTTTGCATGATAAAAGAACAGGACATGAGGTCTTTCCTACCAGATGTTTGTAGGGCAACCCCCCCTCTCTCTGCATTAATATTAATGGAAAGAACATAGGCTGTCGTTGAGCTCAGATGAGTTGAAATTTTTTTGTCTTTGGTCTTCCACGTCCCACAATAAACTACCATTATCCTGGAAAAGTTGCTAAATAGTTAGCTTGCATGAAATAATAATTCTTATATAAATATTCAGTTATATATGAAAATAATACCTGAGGGTTCGAGAACACATTGGGTCTTTGCCCATGTTGAAGAAACAGTGCAGCTGAAACATCCAGAAGAGGATAGTTATGAGATGGGACAATGGATGTGTAAATGGGGTTGGGCTGTTGTAGAGATGGCGCCATTGCAAGTGGTTGGAATGTTTCTGTACTGTTAACTCTCTAAGAAAAACAATAATAATGTCAGAGAGACAAAGATTTCATCAGCTTCAGTAATGGAAAACAATGGCTTGTAATAATTACTTAAAAAAGAAACATGTTCTTCTTACATCTGGTATGATCATCAATGTTTCCAGGTCCACTTCAAAGTCATAGAACATGGGATTCAAAGAAGCAAGCTTCATTGACAGAAACTATATAAAAAAACAGACAAAGAAAACAACAGATTATTCATTGCTTGTTTGATCTTAACATGATATTACGGATTATTTTTTAGTTGTTTACCTCAACTTGATATTTTAGGGACTGAACATAATTGATAATTTCATCCAACATAAGTGCTTTTCCGATCACCTTGTCGCACCCTGGAACAAGACGCTGTAATATCTTCATCCTTTCACTGATTTTCTCTCTTCTTACCTGTAATATAAAACAGTTTCGTTTAATTAGTAACTGTTAATAATTCGGTGATTATAAAAACGAGTTAGGTAAAATCATTACCCTTTCTGCTAGGCTGTGGCTGTCGGTCGCTTGACCCCTTCTGGCTCGAACATGAATGTAGCCAGTGGGATGCTCTTCGGAGGCTTTCTTTTGGTGTTTTTTAACAGCTTTGGGATCTTTCTTTTCGTTTTTCAACGGATGATTGCATTTCTTTTGCCTCTTGGTTTTACCTTCTTTGGTACCCTAATGGGAAATTTTTGATGGGTTAATTGAAGAAAAGAAAACAGTTGAAACATGGATTCTTTCAGGGAAAAAAAGAGTTTTTTTTAAATACCTTAAATTGGGCAGAATTCAAGGTTGTCCCATTTCTTGTCCTTGTCTTCTGAGTGACTTGTTCGCCACTCTCGAGCTTATCCACAACAGTGGAGTGCTCATCGGTGCTCTGTTTTCTAGTCGTGACGGGGGAAAGCTCATTGTCGCTATGAACAGCCTTAGAACCGTTATCAACAGAGCTGCTTTCATGGTACATAGGACCAACAGGGGACGGCTCCTGGTAAAGCTGAGAGAAATAGTGAGGATTGGTGTTTCCATCAAAACCAGACACTTTGGTAGGCGTGTTTGGTATGGAAATGGAGTCAAGAAGAAAAGGGTGAGATTGAAATGAAAAGGCCGCCATGTAAAGAAGCAATTTTTGGAACTGAAAAAGAGAAGGAAAAAATGTGGAGTGTTTGGAGGGAAGTGATGAAGTTAAAAGTGGGGCTGTGAGGAAACAAGAGATGCCCATTTCCTAGGGTTTATATAAACATCAGGAGATAGAGAGAGATGGGTAACTCTTTCCCATGCATATTTAATTGTTTTCTTATCTCTCATGTCTCAACCCATCAATTAACAAGAATCATCCAAACCCAATAACTAGATGAGGAAATTAGAGGTGGTCTGTTGTATCCAATCTAATGAAAATTTATTTTTATATAATTTTTAACTTAATTAAAAAATCATTTAAATATAATTTAAAGAATATTTTCAAACTCGTCATTTTCTGTTAAAAATTTAATGTCTTCTAAGATGTACGTTAACCTACTGACTTAGATATGATAAAATCATATTTTAATGATGTCTACTGGTACCGTCATTGCTTCAAGCATTGACTCGATGACATTATGTAAACATAGACTCAATCCATAAAATACAACTCAAACGGTTTTGGTATAAGATTTTATCATATCTCGGTGAGAAAATTAACGCCAATTTTTTAATGAAAAATGACGAGTTTGGAACATATGAATAGTCATGTGACACTTTTAATAGTCGTTGACTCAACAAAACAATAATTTATAATCATGAGACTATTTTGTAACTTTCAATAGTAGAATGCTCAACAAAGCAACATCATATAGTTAGGGGTCCGATTTGTGTATGTTATCCTTATCCTTTTTTAATGAAGAATACACCGTTTTACTTTTCCTTTGATTTGGTTTAATGCAAATTGTAGTCAACTCAACAAGAATTAAAAAATAAATATGTATTTAAATTATTTTAAAAATTAAACAATTTAATTCAGAAAAAAAATAAAAATGCAATTTCCACCCACCTTGAAAATATATGCCAACACTTTAGGTTCAGGCTCCTTATAGTAAAACCTGAATTAACATAGATACTAGTCTAAAAGATATGATTTTGTAATATCTAAATTCATCTATTATTATAGTAGTCAAATATACATGTGAGTGATGCAGAGATATACGTTTCTGGTACATAATGATTTGATGGCAGTGGGTTCAGCCATTGGGTGTTGGAATTTGATTTTCTTCTTCAGTTTGTGTGTAAAAAGAAAACAGCAGCAGTGAGTAGAGCAGAGTAGAGTAGAGGCATATGTTGTAAGTTAAAAGCGGGCTATGATAGGGCATACACTTTGAGACAAAAGCCTCGTCATTGTCCCTGCAACATTTAAAGCACATGAGTGCCTCCTCTTTTTCTAATTGTATCCCATGAACCCCCCGTCTTTTCCTTCAATCTAAGATGGCTAATCGGACCCTATATCTAATATTTCTGATTTCCTTTTTATAAATTTAAATATTACAGGTGTTAAAATTTTTATTTACCGTTGGTTTAGAGATGTTAAATGTGGGCATAAAATAAAAACAAAACACTAAAGTGTCAACACCAAATGATGAGATTGAAATATGAGCGTATGATTTGTAGTGAAGCTGCAATTTGCCATACACCAGTCAATCATAAAAAGATTAAGAAAAACATTATGGATAAGTGAGATTTTTCAACAATCTTAAATTCATCCTTAAGCTTACATCATACACGTAATATCACCTGAGGGTTGGAAAGAAGACAATGGGAGGAGACAGATTAAGGTGCTAATCAATATAGCATGTATTGCCTTTTTTTTACTGGTGAGATAGACGATAACAATAGAGAGAGATGGAATGATAATATAGTAGTGTTGGTCTAGTTTTCTTTAAGAAGAAGTGTGTACGTACTCAAGATAGGTGTTGATTAAAAGTTATCGTGACATTAATATCGATTGGACATCGTAGGAAGTGATGGATGAATTGATTTGTCATCAAATGAGATCATGTGTACCGACACGTGATCATTGATGATCATATGCAGGATGGATTCACAGGATTTGTAAACGATCGACCCATGATTATTGATGATTGCTTGCAGGATACGCTCTACATGTCTAACGGTTCATATAAGTCCTAGATTCACATAGATCATAGTCTCGCATGTAGTAGCTACTAGCTAGTAAAAGAGAAATTATTTTCTGTTTCTTGTGGATGTAACAGAACTCGTTCTTAAGATCCTTCTCGAGAAAACCTAGTCGTTTGCTCCATAGTCAATTTGTCTTTGTTATACACAGCTAGAAAGCAGTTACTTGGTTTGAAATTGACGGCTTATTTGTCTTCGACCTTACAAAATTTACGCATAAAACAACAATAGCAAGTTGTCTACCAATCTGATTTGATTTGATATGTACGCATGCATACGTAGATTTGATCCCATGCATGTATACGTAGATTTGTTTAATGACTTCGTGGCGTTTATATCAGATAAACATCAAACCCAGACAGAAGATGCTTGACAGATTTCCCCAGGAAATAAACAAAGCTGCGTTAGTGGCTTTTGGACATACGTCTAAAGCAAAATTACAAACATCAAATGAAAAGCGATATTTACACACTGAAATCTACATCCAATACGCAGACAAAATGATTCTGTCGTTATTCAGCAAAACGCGTTGTGTACACATAAACCTGTGATTTGACAAATTCTTTCTGGCGGAAAACTCATAATTTTTCTCTCAATTTGAACGGCTTTGGACCCTATCAAAGATTTACGATATCACCATCATCAAAAGTGGCTTGTCCTCTTATGATTTTCCGAGAAAAGTTGCATTTGCGTCGTAGATTTGTCAACTGCAACGTCAACATGGCAGCTAAAAAATGAACATCTTCCTTGGCATTTCTACCCTTGTTTATTATCTCTTTGTACTTGCTAGTACATATTTGCAAGATTTTTTAGTTGTCTCCATTTTGATCTGAAAATTGAAGTCTTCTACTTGATTTTGTATTATTTCAACGTTTGCTGATGTTCTATTCATTCCGAATTTTGATATAAAAACTCATTTTCAATCGGACTCAATATTAATAATTTTTTTATTCGACGTGATAGAGATCATTACTCATACAAGCATTATAATAATTATTCATAAATATATGTGGAGATATTATAGTAATTATTTGGGTCAGATTAGATACTTTTTAACCTAAATTCAACTCTGCTCGAACTTATTCTTTCCTTCATAAAATTTATCTCGACCAGCCTCAAACCTCCTTTTTTTATATTAAAGAAATTAATTCAATATAATCATATCGAAACACAACAGGTTCATCTCAAATATAAATACTTTTAATAATTTATGTAATCTTTTAAAGATACTAATGATCTATAGTATAATTATCATCAAATCTATGCTGTAAACGCTGATAAATAATTGTGATTTAGTGGCGTTTTTTGTATAAATGCCGATAAATACTATACTTTAGTGGCGTTTTTGTATAAATGCCGCTAAATAATGTACTTTAGTGTCGTTTGAAGCACAAACGCCGCTAAATGCTCATATTTTAGCGGCGTTTGTGTATAAATGCCGCTAAATATTGTACTTTAGTGGCATTGTAAGCACAAACGCCGCTAAATTCTCGTACTTTAGTGGCGTTTCTATACAAATGCCGCTACTTACCCGGACTTTAGTGTCGTTTCTATACAAACAACGCCAAATACCCGTACTTTAGTGGTGTTTTTATACAAACGTCGCCAAAGACCTGTACTTTAGTGGTGTTTTAATACAAACGCCACCAAAGACCCGTACTTTAGTGGTGTTTTTATACAAACGTCGCCAAAGACCCGTACTTTAATGGCATTTTTATACAAACGCCGCCAAAGACTCGTACTTTAGTGGCGTTTTTTAGAATAAATGCCGCAATTTATCAGTAAATTTGTGGCATTTGTAAATACAAACGACGCAAGGTTACGATTTCTAAGTCCCACACCCTTTTTAACCATTTTTCATTTTTTTCTAGATATGAACCTGGAATTCAAATCCAAGAAGATGAAACCCCGAGATCCAGTGAAAGAAGCCCAGCTACGGACCCCCAAAAACCTGAAGGAGAGTACAAAAGGGTGAAATTTTAAAGGGGGAAATTTTAATCGCTTCGTCATTCTCCTCCGTCGAACCCTAGAAAAAGAAGAAACACCTAAAAGTTCCAGCTTTCTTCTTCTGCTTGCTTTAGAATTCTCTCGAACTTTCTCTGATCTACCATTTTTACCCTTTTACTCTCTTCAATTCCTTTCCAATTCCCTTCCCTTCCAACCTTTCTCTCTCGCCCTTCATTTCACTGCTCAATTTCTCTTCTTTTCCTTTTTTTTTTTGTTTTAAATTTCGCGAGGTTTTGGTTTTTATTTGAATTTGACAATATTTTTGTATTCTTTTTATTGGTAGAGAAGCGTGAGTGAGTTGAATATAAAATGCATGTTAGATGGAGGTTCGAGAGAAAGTTCAGCTTCAGTTAGGCCGCGTTGAAGAGGGAACTATACGTTTAGCCATGATTCGTGAGGTAACTTTGAACAAAATTTTACCTTTCTCCCATTGTTTTGACTTGGAAAGCTTAAAACTTTAAGACTCAATTTCTGCAAAATTCAGAGTTTAGATGCTAACATAGTGATGGAAATTCATGATCTTGGGATGGATTACAGTGTTTTTCTCTTTAAAAAATGCAACCTTGGGTTTCTATATAGCTTATGTTTCACTGTTCACGGATTTTTCTCTTGGGTCTGTGTTTTCAAATGGAAAAACAAGCTTTTGGACTGTTAAAAAATGGGAAACTTTGTTGGGTTTTTACCATTTTGATACTTTCTTCTACAAGTGTATTGCGGGTTACAAAAATCAGACCTTTATTTTGAGTAGCGAGTGAAGTGAAACACTTTGTGATTTCACTTTTTTGCTTTGGGGTTGTGGGGTTTTAACTTTTGATCACTGTAAATTCTCTTGCTGGGGACTTGGGTCTTAGTGAAAGGGTAATCTTTGAAAATATTTGGGGTTTCAAAGCGTTTCTTGTTCTTGCTTAGTGATGTGCTTCTTTTGCAAGCTTCAATGTTGATGATTTAAGGGTTTAATTGAAGTTTCGAAGTGAATGTCTCTGCTACATTGCTGTTTTCAAAGGTTTAAATGCTTCTGTTCACATCTTTTTAGAGTATTTTATTCATTAACTTATTAGATTAGCATTCAAAATTAAGCCTAATTTAGAAGTTAGCTGAGGATTAACATTTTAAGTTTCAGTTGAGCTTGAAAAGCCAAGCGTTTGTGATCTTAAAGTGGTGAACAACACAGAACACCACGTGGCATTTAAGGTACACAGGTTCTGTCACCATTGCAAATGCATCCGATTACTTGTTATGTGTATTCTCTTTTCTGTTCCGGGATATTTTTATGTTTGTATAATTTTAATTCTCCCAATTCATTATCATGTTAGGTTAAAACGACTTCTCCTAAGAAGTATTTTGTGTAACCAAACACCGGTGTTGTACAGCCTTTGGATTCATCTGTCATTAGAGGTTTTATCTATAAATCATTCCGTCGTAACACCATCTTATAAATTAAAATTTTCACAATCTGCTTCCATCCATTGCTTTTTCTTGGTTAGTTCGTTGAGATTCTTATATGGATGATACTGATTTTCGTTTATCTGCTTGAATCCCAGTCACTCTCCAAGCTCAACGGGAATATCCTCCAGATATGCAATGCAAAGACAAATTTCTGCTACAAAGTACCGTAGTCCCTTCAAATACCGATGTGGATGATCTCCCGGCTGATGCTGTAAGAATACTGACAGCGAGAATAACTTTTTCATTTGACTACATTTATGATACTATTCATAGTTCTATACGATCTTTGGAATGTCATCCTTGTCTTTGCGTTCAGTTTAATAAGGATAGCACTAGGGAGATACAGGGGTGCAAGCTTAAAGTTTTCTATGTAACTCCTTCCTCTCGAGGAAGTTCAGAAGATGAAGGGTTTAAGAGCTATCCAGAACAAGGCGCTGATTCAAACTCCGCGAGTCTAGTCATTGATCTGCTTATTTATTATTATTAGTTTTTTGTTTTATGCAATATTTATGTGCACATGCTAGCAATCGCTTAACCTCACAAGACATTTATGTAAGTACAATTTGAGGTTTCCAGTAAAGTTTCAGTTGATTGAGCGGACAATTGGAATAGACCTAGAAATCAGTACGGATATAGGCAACTCAAAGCTCTCCTCCGAACCTCTTTGTTTTTAATGCAGTTGTGATACCAATTTTGTTTGAAGCCTGGTTTTATTTTATTTGGAAATTTTCATTGGGATGAGGAAGGCATTAATCTTGTTTGGTTTACGTATGCTTATAATTTGAGTTCCTTGCAGACATGTCTGGTTTTTTCGCATTTGCATGGTTGATTGTTATAAGCTTGCCGTTTTTGCCTTCTACTTTATTGTTATTTTCTGGTGAAGGTAACTTGAAAACGAAAACCCAGAATCTGGATTTTATGCCTTCATTTTTTACATTTCCTTTTTGCATTCATGAGCCAGACTGTGCAGCACCTGAAGGATGAAAGAGATGCAGCCATTCGGCAAACACTGCAGCTGCAACAGGAACTGGTATATTCATTAACTTATTAGATTAGCATTCAAAAGTATTTTTTTAATCTAATATAACAGGACAACAACCACAATAGAGATGAAACAATTAATGCAATAATGGAGCTCCGAAAGGGTTCGTTTTTATACCTCTGTTGTAGAATCTTTTTTTGCCGCAATAAACTGTCGTGTGTGTGTGCGCTTTTATCATCCATGTTGATTCCACTGAACTTTGTATACTTTGGTTGGTATTCTTACTGAATTTTGTATAACATTGTCTCTTGTGTCCATATGCAGATATTTTTTCCTCCATTTGCAGTGCACATACTGATTGAGTGATTGTACCGTTACGGAAGACCGTGAAACTACAGGTCTTCCTGCATCAAGTCACAGGTAAGACCAGCATGTATAATATTATACACACATGCTAAAAAAAGAATAACAGAAATCCCCAATCAAAATTTATCATTCCAAACTTTCAATAGTAAATTTTAACTAGGTAGCATGCTGCATGTAAATCTTTGTTTAACCTTTATAGATGTTTTGAGTCGATATTCATGGATATTTTCCTTGACTTTTGACAAAAAATTTGCAATTTATGATGGTACATATTTCATGAATCATTAACATATGGATCCTGAAGGCAAGAAATTTGGAGGAGGTAATATTGTTTAGAATCATGCTTTTTCTTCTAGTTTATCTTCTTGTAATATATTGTCTATGAATCCATTGTTTTCATTGTTGTTTGAATTGAAGGTATATTTCTGATAAAAAGAATCAACTGAAGTTGCATGATAAAAGGAAAATTGCTACTAGAAGATTCTTTTTTATTCTAGTGAACAATGTTTTTATTCTATTAAAAGAGAAAGAATCTAGAATAAATTATAGTGAACAATCTTGAACTATGTTACATTTTAATTTAATTTTATAAAATTTGATTTTTTTTTCAACATAATTTGTGTCGTGATTAAATTTTAAGTTTATTATTATTAGATAATAATATAGAATATTAAATTTGCGTAATATAAAGTAGAAAATGATATATGCGAAATCAATTAACTATAGTGGCGATTGTAAATATAAGCCACTGAAAGTCAGGTTCTTTTGCGGCGTTTTGTGATGTAAACGCCACTAATGATCACACATTTTTTGCGGTGTTTGTAAAACACGCCACTCTATACATAGTTAATAGCGACGTTTATACAAAATATCATTCCATGTAGTGGCGTTTTGGAGGCTTTTTCTGAAAAGCGCCGCTAATTACCTTATCTTTAGTGGCGTTTGTTTTCTAAAATGACACTACATGTTATGATATTTAGCGGCAATTATATAAAAACGCCGCTATTAACTATGTATATAGTGGCGTTTTTTACAAAGGCCGCAAAGAATGTGTGATCATTAGTGGCGTTTACATCACAAAACGCCGCTACCTTTTGCGACGCTAGTTTTAGTGGCGCTTCTTGCGACGTTTTTATATACGCCGAGAAAGCTTTTAGAAGCATTTAAAAACGCTGCTATAGAACTAAAAAAGCGCCGCTAAAAACCTATTTTGTTGTATATTTATATAATTTTAATACGTTCATACATTTGTTTCTATCTTTCAAACAGTTCTTGATGGGACTTTAAAACATGTTGTATGCTTGAAAAGAAAATGAATTTGGATCAATTTATGGACTCCATGAGTTTGTTTTAGTTCAAACATAAACAAACCAGACCCTTACCCTGTAGATCCAGGTTCAAGGCGTAGTCCAGTTAGAGCATGGCCTATACCTTTTATACGTGGCTGAATTCATTAGCAAATATATATGCATATTTGGTTTAATTATCCGTATCTAATTCTTAGATAGACTAATTCAGATTGAATAATATAGATATTTATCGTGGAGTAGATTTCCAACTCAATTTATTTCGTTCACAATATCAAAATTTGAACATCTAATTTTACTTAAATGATTTAACGTCCCATCCAGTTAGACTAACTAATAATAAGTTCATAAGCAAATATTTCATTGCCAACTGCCAACACCTTCTTCTTAAGCCATGGTTTAAGGCTTACTAAATTCGGCTAATCTCATCAATGTCATGCCCCGAAGCTTGATTTGATTGATCAACGCAAACATCCTTTAAAATGGCATTGAAACCAATTCAAAAGTCGAATATCTAACATGCTTCATCTATATACAAAACCAAGAGTATAATCATTGAGAAGAATTCAGCATTAAACTTAATTCGTCCCATACGTGTTGAAACACATGTTTCAGGTTACAGCTTGAATCGTTGCCTACAAAAAAAGAACAAGAACGAAGAACAAAATCCATACTCTAAACTTGCCGTTGGTGGACATCTACCCTATATTATTGCTTTCTCAATAAGGGGAACAATCCCCTTACAAAATTCATACATAAGAAATAACTAAACTTGCATCCTGTTCTCCGAGAACTGGTCCTTTTCATTTCTTTGCAGACGTGGGAGTCGGATTGCCACCTCCGGTGGTTGGCCTGCAGGAAACGAATTGGATTTAAGTCATTTGATTGTTTATAGATAGGTCTATAGGAACGGTAAATCATAAAAACTTACAGTCCAACAAAGACTTTGAAAGCATCATAGATTCCCCATTGTGCTCCAGTAAGGGTTCCAATCATGACAATACGAAGAGGAAGTCCTCGGGTGAAAAGACCCCACAGTCCCATCTTCTTCACTGCCTGCAACAGATTAAAAAAACCAAAGCAAAAAAGATCAGGTTGATCATGTCAAAAGTGAAATATACACACACACATATATATCGATGAATGAAAGAGTATAAGGTTTGTACATACATCGCCGACCGTTGCTCCCTGGGCATTGTTGAGAAAAGACACCAGGTTATCAGCAGGATGTGATACAATAGCACAGAAAACACCAGCAATGTATCCACCAGCAAAGCTCACCCCAAGCTGCAGAGGTTTACTGCACTTATCTTTCGGGGTGGGGATGGCATGCTTGTAGAGTAACTCAACGATTGTCTCAAAAGATGCAAATTTCATCATTGTATCTATCACAAATATCAATTCAATTTCATCACAACAATATAAGAAGTTACAAAAGGAAAATGTTTGGCTTACAAGGAATCTGTCTTCCCCAGAGGGACGATTCCTTTGAACAATCTACAAACATGTATAAAAACATAATGTCAACACTTCAAGTAAAAGCATAAATCCATTACTTAACCAGAAATATAAACAGTTATGATATATACCCTCCAAAGCCTTCAGTGTTCAAGAATTTCGGTAATCCTTCTGATAATCCTCGGGCGAATCCTGGCTGAGTTTGGACACGGACTGTGACAGCCTCCATGGGGCACAGAGCAACATCAGCAATCACTTCAGCCGATGTCGAACCAGCAAGATAAATCAGGGTCTTGTACTTTGAGGCGTATTCAGGACCCGCAAGTTCGGAATAGTACTTCTTGAAGAATTCATAGAAACCGAATTTACAAGCACCCCGAGCACTGTAACCAAGCAGAGTAGGCACCCAGCCCTTGGATAAACCTTTAACACCTTGCTCCCTCAGCAAAACTCCAAACCCAAATGAGATGCTCTTGTATTTTGCTGGATCAATCTGAGATTTCAAAAGCATTCAAATTTTGCATAAACAATTATAATTAAATCAATGAAGCTACTCATGATGATTGATGTAGGTGATAAAATGTTGAAAATAATTGACTGTTTTCATATTTCGTCCGAAGCATCAAGGGTCAATCAACCATTTTTAAAACTGATACGGCGTAACTGTTTAGTGGAACCCTTTTCCATTTAAATTTAACTAAAACAAATTTCACGAAAGTTTAAATATATTGTAATATTAGTTGAAGGCTATACAATAATGGTAGTTAAACAGTAGAAGCTTGATCAATGAATCAACAAGATCGGATGAAGGAAGAAAGGAATACCTGCATGTTACACTTAACAAGATCGAGAGGCGTGACAGCGGTATGAGTAAGGCCGCAGCTCAATATCCCACCCATTGTACACGCGCCGTAAAAAGCGGGAGAGTACATCTCGATCTTCTCCTTCGGTGCGGGTATCAATATCCTACCCGAAGCGACCCCTGTATGACCGGCCGAGTACTTGGCTGATGACGATGGCGAAAGGGACGGTGATCGAGGCTTGACATGATTGTGATTGGGGTTCATCGAAGGCATGCCGAAACCGGAGGGTGGTTTCGTTGAGGAATAGAGGAAGCTAGGAATGAGAGACTGGCGGAATTCATCGGGGACTGCCATTTTTCGTTGTTGTGATTTGTTTGGGATCTCAAGAATGAATGAGAATGAAGGTGGGAAATGGTTTTTGAGCGAGCTGAGGATGCCAAGAAAATGGAAAATCCATTCGTTAATACAACAAAACGACGACACGTAACATTTGTTAATGATATCAGTTGTCGTAAATTTCGAAATTTATCTTTAGTAATTCATCCATGTAGACACCCGTTTTTGTCCGGGTCTTTTTTATTTTGTTTATATTTTATCTATTATTATTATAATTATTATTACTATTATTTTATTATTCTTATTATTAAATTACAAGTTACATTTTTGCAGGCCAATTATTGAGGCCCAGTACATCACAGACCAGCCATCAACCCAACAGCAATATAACCCAGTTGGAACATGACCCGATCCAGCAACCCCTCAACCCGAAGCCCAAAATTCGGACCCAAATTAGCCTAACTAAACCCTAAGTAGATATGGGTTTCTACCCTAATCCCCTAATCATTCAACAGCCGCCGCACGCCTGATCGTTTAGCTTCCCAGCCGAGCTTCATCCTCGCCCCCGTCGCCATTGGAGCCGATTAGAACACGTCCATCGAACAGTGATCACCTACAGTGACCGAGACTCCATCAGTCAGAACGAAAGCAGAATAAACCCAATAGAAAATGAAAAGAAATCTATGTGATATCCCAATGCAATCTAACATGTCAATAACATCTATCAGCAACAAACAATCACAAAAAGACAGAGGCGACATAAAGCAGAGTAGAGAGAAATATTGGGGGATTGGGGGTGGTGAAAAAAAAAGGAGGGAAAATACCAAAAAAAAAACAGAGGGAAATGAAAGAAAAGGCAAACAACCTTGAGAGAAAAAAACAGAGAAAACCGGTATCAAAACCCACAAAAACAACAAAGGATTAAAATCTTACCTCGTCTCAGAGATCGGGAAGCCGAGGAGTCGATGTTTTTCCCAAATATTCGAAAGGTAATGTGGTAGATCTAGGAGGCTAGGGTCGTTTTTAGGCTAGGATAGGACGATTTTCGGGTTAGGGTGAAGGAGGGAGTCTTCTAGGACTGTTTACTCCCTCCGACCGCCGTGGACCACCGGGGAAGCCGCCGGTATGAGGCGGTCCTTTCTTCCCCGATGAGAAGAAGTTGAGAGAGTTTTAAAACTCTCTCATTTCTGTTCTCTTTGGACGAGAGAAATGTGAGGGAGATGAGAGGTTTAGCCCGTGTTTTGGGCTTTTAATTCCCACCTGAAACGCGACCGTTTTGCCCTCAACCCCATCCGTGTTTTCGAGTTATGGGATAACTACACTTTTAGTCCTCCCAGCTTTGTAAACTTACCCGCGTGTTTCGGGTTTTTAGGGTCTAATATCACTTTTGGTCCCTGATCCTTTGTAACCGCATTATTTAGTCATTAAATGAGATTTATTGTATTTCGATTTCGAGCCTTTTAGTTTTAATGATTGTATTTCAGTCATTAATTTGTGTATTATGTTTGCTGGTATTATAATTTGGTCACCATATTCGTATATGCTATTTTAGTCATTGTTTCAGTTTATTGTGCATTTTCCTTTGATATTCGGATTTGGTCATGAAATTTGCAAATGTTATATATTAGTCATTGTTCATGTTTTATCATATTTGTCTATATTTGATTCTGGATTTATATTTTCAAATATTTCAATTTAATCACTGATCCCATGCATTTTATTATCTTTACTGTTATTTGAATTTGGTCACCATTTTCGTATATAGTCTATTTTAGTCATTGTTTGATGTTTGGTTTAATTACTTTGTGATCTTTTATGTTTATGTTTATTTCATTTTAGTCCTTACTCTTTTGTATTATACTACTTTCGTGGATGTTTGGATCTGATCTCATATTGTGTAATTATTTTATTTTATCACTGAATATAACTTTCTTTTAATTTTTTGGCTTCAAGTTCTAATTGCTTTTATTTTAGTCATTTTCTGTTTTTTAATATTTGGTTTAATGTCTATTTTATTTTCTTTTGTTTTGGGCATCTATGTTTCCTTGTTTATATTTTAGTCCTACTAATGTATATTATGTCATTTTGTGGATACTTGACTTTGGTCCCAATGTTTGTAATAGTTTCATTTTAGTCATTGATTTTATATGTTAGGTATTTTTGTTAATGTTCGAATTATCCCCGACATTTGTGAATATTTTATTTTATTCATTTATGTATAATTTTATTGTACTTGTTATTCGGTTATTTGTATTATGTAAATAATGTTTTTAATAATGTGAATATTTCATTTTGTATTTCCAATTACATTTATTTTCATTATATTTTTATCTATGTATGAAATATTCGATTATATTTTCAAGAACACGTATGCGTAGAATGGGCGTGGAAAGTACCACTTTATCGAAGTGGTGTGATCCGGTACGGCATTTTAACGACATAGAAACTTGAAATAAGTTGAGTATATTTTGCTAATTAATTTGTTCAAACGATGCAATGTGTGTTATTTTAAGTGACAATTTATTTTATTTTATGTGAATGTAAATTTCAAATTTTTAATTTGTATTCAATTCACGTTTTAGTTAATTAATTACTCGTATGTAAACATCGTTTTTAGTTATAGTTGATTCGCATTTTTTTTACATAATCAACGGTAGAATATTCTTTTACAAAAGAGAAATAGTTGAAATAGCTTTCCCGACGGAGGATTGCAAATTTCAAGATTTCTTATCGAGTTAAAGGATTTTCTTTAAATAATTAACTCGAAGCAAATTGATTAAATTTCAATAAATGGATCGTAATTTAACTTTATATTCGATTTATAATTTCCATTTACAACGATGTAAGCGACACAGTACCTATTTTGGGCGTTGTGGGGTGTTACCTTTCCCCGCACGTAACCGACTCCCGAATCCATTTAAATGAATCTTTGGTAACGCAGACCGAATTTGTCTTAAAAATGATTTTTCTTAAAATTGTTTTAAAAGACGTTTTTAGGTATTCGACCTACCTAACCCAAAGGTGATGGCGACTCTTTTTAATTTTATTCAAATCAATTCAAAATCACCCAAATTTTCCAAATTAAAGTTGTAATCGTTTTTTTAAATAATATTAAATTGTTTTTATAAAAAAAATGGTTATGACAGCTTGGCGACTCCGCTGGGGAATCTTTTTTTTGAGAGTCAGGCTGTATGTCGTTTACATATTGTCATTGGTGGAAATTATGATTTCTAGTTTTTAGTTAATTTATGATTCGTTTATTGAAATTTTAATTGCTTCGTTTTTGTCATACTAACTTTTATTTTGGCTTTCAGCTTTGTCAGGATTTATCATTTTTCCTTGTTTGTTTTCCTTTTGGGTTGAAGGTAGGTATCCTCCTCACACACACACTCGCATTGGCATAACATAAGCTTAGACACGAGCTTCGATCCAAATTAGTTGGGTGAATGCTTCACTCTCGTAGAATTTATTCTTCGTATGAGTTTTAGCAAAAACCCATGGGATACATACCTTATACCTTCGTAGGGATTTATTCCTCGTACGGGTATAAGACAGTGAATCCCCTCGAATTGAACTCGTTCCGTTTGAAACCTGTAATGGGTGAGGATCGAGGGTCTGGCAGCCCAAGGGGGCACCGACATCAAGGACAATTCGAGTCCCTTTTTTCCGTTAGAGCCGAAACCAAGCATAGTGAATCGTCGAACGATCACCCTAGGTATAGTCGTACCGAACCTTTGTCCGTTAGTAGGTACCCAAAATAGGTGTACACGAAGGAGGAACGATTCTAAACCTTAACCTTTAAATTTGTAGAATTTTTTTTTTTTTCCGGATAAAGCATGCGAACTAGATACCATGCAGTTAGGACCAATTTCTTGAAATAGATCATTTTGGTAGATAGCATGTCCGGGTAGGTGTTATAATTGAAAGCATGTTTGGGTAGATATCATGACGGGGGTGTTATATCCATCTCTGAATTATTTTATTTGTATCAATTTTACATGTACTAACTTATTTTCTCTTTTGTTTGTGTATACTAACTTATTTCTTCTCTTTTGTTTGTGTCATTTTGTCATTTGCATTGCATTGCATTGCATCATCATAATGCAAAAGTGTTGATCCGTAAGGGGATATCGAGAGAAAATTTTCACAAGAAGAGATAAAGTTTTCAATCAAGCGATCGCATACACAGACATGCATCGAGGGCTAAAAAGAAGTCCAGAGTACAAGAATGAGATTTTCTCGAAGATCGTGCATCATTCGAGACTGATATGATAATCCACTGATCTAAGGAGTAATCCAGATTCTCATCCACAATTATTCCATCGTTAACCATCAGGGATGAAGCACAACTTCAGCATAGCCGAGTATTGATGGAGTTAGTTTACAGAGCATTGAGGGGCATCGGTTCTAAGTACAAAGATCCGAGACGAAGCAGTGAGCTCGAAGATCGTGCATCATTCAATACTGAGATGATATCCACTGATTCAAGGAGTAATCTAGCAGGAGTCTTATCTACAATCATTTCATCGCTAGTTATCAAAGAGCGACACACCGACCTCATTACCGAGGCATTAACGGAGTCAGATTACAGAGCGCTTGAGGGCATCATTATTAAGGACGAAGATCCGATATGAAGCAGTGATCCATTCCAGGCTCACCATCTAAGCGAAGACATGTTTGTAAATTGGATTGTCTTGTAATGTGAAAACTTTTATTTCTGGTGAAGACTATTCTAGGATATTCATCGTTGGGGTCAATATTTTTCCATCTGCATTTGCATTTTTTTTTTTGCATATATATATTTTTAAGCATTTTCATATGCATCATCATAAAAACATGAGATCAATTTGTGGAGAAGTCAGTGGAAGTAATCCTGATCACGTGACCATATTGAGAATATAAACAAGAAGCTGAAATCAACACGATAGAAGCTTGTTCGATTGAGTCTTCCAGGATGGTTCGAAAAGAGTCATCGTTCCCTGAGGTCTACGATGTTGATCCAGTGCACATTTCCATCTAAGAAGCTCCAGACATTCCACCGAGAACTGAAGACACTAAAGCACAAAATCCATAATATGATTTATTCGGGGTATCCTAATACTAAGCCAGAGAAGTCATTGCATCAACCACTTGCATCCATAGAGATTGTTTTGCTACCTTCTAAGGTTAAATAATTGAACAAATTTTAATCTTTAGTTCTTTGAATATCGAATGAATTACATATTCTTTTAATTCTTCAAGAATTATAGATTTTTGACATATTGCAGATTAGACCTTTTTTTATCCTGTCTAAAACCCAAAATAAAATCTCTCGATTTTTTTACCCGAAATAATTCCTGGTCACTACCAAATAACCAATTTTTGGCATTCTATCTCTTTGAGACCTTGAAATATTTTTTCGACCTTGAAACATTCCCTCTCTTTGAGACCTTGAAATATTCTTTCCACCTTGAAACACTGTATTTATTTTTTGAGACAAAAGTCATACCCATACCTTTCTTTGAGCCAATAAAGTCATCATCGTCTTCTTAGACGTAGAACCAACATTTTCTACCAATAAAACCTACAGACATTGAGTACAAGATGTTCACTTGAACATAAACCTTCCTACAAAGAAGACACGTGGGGGCATCTCGCATCAATTTTCTGAAGACGAGCATAAGCAATTGAGACATGTTGAGAGCAAGAAGCGAAGAGATAAAAATGGAATTCATTCAAAATAATTCTATCATGCATTAATTACTGTTTTCATTTAAATAAAATTAATCCTGAAAATCTATCCCCCTGGGGATACCTCTTCTGCAAGGACTGCTGTGTATGAGATGAACGACTTTCTTTCTTTATCCCTTCACAAAGGAGAAAATATATCCCTTGTGTCCCCTTTGAGCCTGAATGATATTTTCTTTTGATTCAACCTAACCAAGGATCACCCTCCACACTGGGGGGGCAATGTGAAGGAAATCTGAGTGAAGAAAATTGATCCAAATGAGATACCGAAAGGTGAACAGACGCAGAGTGCAAAGATCAAACCAAAGAAAAAACAAAGAGCAAAGAGAAATCAAAGCAAAAAGCAAAGAAAAAGCAAAGAACAAAAAGAGGAAAGAACACAGACAAAGAGTCTCCTGACTCAAATGGCACATCAAGTTTCAAACTATGAGATTGATCCAGAATTAGTTCACCAGAAGATAGAACATCAAGAGAAGACAAAGGACTCATACGAGCATATTCAAATGGAGCAAGACAAGATTGAAGGCATCAGAGTTAATTGATCCTTGGTTCAAATACCCTTAAAACACATGTTTGGGCCTTTTATCCCTTTCTTTCATAACCCTGAACCATGGCCTACATTACGTGCCTTACAACCTTCTAATCATACATGGATTTCTAAGCGGAAGAGACTATCCTCATATTTCCCCCCCTATCAGGATTAATTTTACTTATAAAGGTTTTCTAAAATCTTTAATGCATAATAGAAAAATAACTAAGGGGGGTTCAAGACGTAAAATTCTGAGTAACGTCTTGAAACCAAAGGAGGATTCGAGTTGAAAACCTGAAAGGGCGGCTCGAATATGAAGATTATTACATAGGAGACGATTGCTCAAATCCCTTGATGAGGCATCACACAACATGAATGAGAACATGAGAGTTGGGAGTCAGAGAACACTTCCAATAACTGAGTACAGAAGCTACTCCATCAGATCAAAGAACATCAAATAAATGAGAACACTATACTTTTGACCAAAATAACCACTTGAGACTTTTATCCTTCCTTACTTAACCATTTCTCAAAGATAGCATTGATCTTGACACTTGTCAAATAGCTATAATAAAGAGGAAGAAAACATTTCAAACAAGATAATCTCTCTGGAGGCGTATCTTGGAATTCAAAAAAAAAAAATATCTATCTGAAGCTCAAGATCGAAGCTGGGGCAAGAGAAGCTAAATTTTAGGGCAAAATTTGATGGAATAAACAAGTGGTCTCAGGTCAAGGTTTGTAAGAGTACACATTGGTGGAAATAGGACAAGTTGAATCAACGATAGAGTGAAGACTGCTCTCGTGATCATTCCTTCTAGATCGAGAAAAGTATACACATACATACATACATATACACATACATACATACATACATGATACATAAAATTTGTATCAAACATTTATCATCATGTGTATTAAAGACATTTTTCTCCTCACTTGAGGACAATTTCAAAAAAAAAAAAAAATCAAAAAATCAAATAAATTCATATTGACATCATAACATCCAAGATAGTTAGTCAAAAATGCATCATTCTGATCTTTTCAGGAAATAAGAGCTCGGAAATAACCAGGTGTGTTCAACTTGAAAGAACAATGCAATCCACATATTTGGCTTCCTGAAGTCAACAATCAGATCTTCTGAAGACGTTTCCTCAACATGCAGGAATCAATAGACAAACTTTGAGCTATTGAGATTATTTTCTTTTAAAAAAAAATAATAAATAAAGTGTCATCTCACTAGAGATAGTTTTTCTTAAGAACAATTTTCTTTTGTCTCGTTTGAGACAATTTTCTCTTTAAAACAATTGTCTCGCTTGAGACATTTTTCCACAAATTTTGAGAATTTTAAAACAAATTGCGTCTCGCTTGAGACATTTTTCCTTTGAGATACAAATTTTGAATTTGATTCACTAAAAACAAAATAATCTCACCTTAGATTCTTGTTTCTTTCAAAACAAATTTCGTCTCGCTTGAGACCTTTTCCTTTGATATCCAAATTTCGAATTTGTTCACATTAAACAAAGTTGATCACTTGAGATCGTTTTCTCAAAAACAAACTTTGTCTCGCTTGAGACAATTTCTCTAAAAACAAATTTTGTCTCAGTGAGACTATATCTTAAAGCAAAGTTCGTCTCGCTTGAGACATCATTTTCTCTCATAATACAAATTTCAAGGTTGTTGTACTTAAAGAAATTAATATCAATTGAGATTTTCAAAGCTGATTTGTCTCGCACGAGACAGTTTCCCTTTTAACAAATCCTGAAATTGTTTCATTTGAAACAAAATAAACACTTTTGAAAACACTTTTGAGATTATTTCCATATAACAAAATCGACAATATTTGAATCTTTTAAAACGATTTTTGTCTCTCTTGAGACAGTTTCTCTTGAAAAAAATCTTTGAGTTTGTTCCTTTTGAATAAAAATCTTGAAGTTTGTTCCTTTTGAATAAATCTTTGAGTTGTTTCTTTTGAAAAAATCTTTGAGTCTATTTATTTTGA